AAAAAAAAAAAAAAAAAAAAAAAAAAAGAAGAAGAAGAAACAATTAAATAAAGAAAAAATATAAAAAAGAAAAAATATATATATATTAGATAAACTAGTTAAAAAACATTAAGCAAAGGGTAAAAGTTAAAAAAAAATTGGCAGAAGAAGAGAAAAAAAAATTGAAAAAGAAAAAAAAATTAAATTAACTGCAAGACTAAAGAATCATGGGGAGAAAGCCATGAGTTCCATGCTTTGCTTTCTCCTCCTCTGGAATTCCGCTGCTCTCCTTGGTATTGAAACTACACTCCTTGGTAGGTGAACTTGGTCCTGGCTGGGTTTCTTGTTGATCTTCTGGGGGAGGGGCCTGTTGTAGTGATTCTCAAGTGTCTTTGCCCCAGGCGGAGTTGCACCGCCCTTACCCAGGCCGGGCTGAGTAATCCGATCGGGTTTGCTTTCGGGAGCTTTTGTTCCCTGAGCGCTTTCCGTAGAGTTCCGGAGGGCGGGAATGAAGATGGCGGCCTCCCGGTCTCCAGCCCGGAGGAGCCGAGAGCCCGGGGCCCCACTCCTCAGTGCGCCCTCAGAGAACAGCATCCACTTACTCCTGTCACCCTTGCCTCCGGCTGCGCTCCAAGCTGACCGCGCCTGTGATCGCTTCAAGGTAACCCCGAGCTGAGAGCTCACTCCTTGGCTCTGTCTCTGTAGCCGGCTTCCCCGTTCTAATACCTGTAAGCTTTGTGACACTCAGACACCCCCGATCCTTCTGTGACCCTGCGGGACCTGATGCCACGCTGACCCCGCGTGGGCTTCACCCCGGTTAAGCCTCTGGAGTGATGTCCCTCAGCAGAACAGACTTTTAAAAGTCCCAATTTTGTGCTCCGTTGCTCCGCCTCTTGCTTGGACCTGGCCCCTTCCCCCGCAGTCTATCTTCCCGTCGCTTTGGATTCACTTCTCCGCCAGTCCTACCTTTCAGAAAGTGGTTGATTTTCTGTTTCTATAATTCCTGTTCTTCTTCTCTTCGATCCCCCGCTGGATTTGTAGGTGTTTGCGATCTTTAGATAAGCTATCTAGCTGATCTCCCGCTACCTGAAGTAGTCTCAGCCTGCTACTTCTCTGCCATCTTGACTCCTGTTTTTTTTTTTTAATGGTTTTTGGCAAACAATACAGCTTACTGCAGGGTTTTTATCAGAAAAATAAGAATTATTTAACTGGTATATTTTGTAGTTAAGATTAATTATCTGATATATACTTTCCTTTTTCAGGTACAGTTTTGTATTAGGTGAAAAATTATAAAATATTAAAATGTTAAAAGTAGTTATCAAATAACTAAAATGGTAATGCATGTGATTGTTATTTTTGTGCATGAACACATTTTTCTTAGTCATTTGTATATAGAATGGTTTTCATACAAAGATCTATTTCCCATCCTTTTTTAAAGTATTTTTTGAAGTATTCATAAAAATAATTTTTTTTAAATTATATTTTTTGATCTTGATAGCCTGTTGTTTTAACTTAAATTATATAGATCGAAACTATGGTATTATTTTTGTTAGCCCCATATTACTTAGAGGGTTTAGAAACTCTATTTCTATAAAATTAATAGTTTGAATGTTATTATACTCCAATAAAATATAGCTGTTTCAACTTAATTGAAAGGAAGGAGATAATGAAACCATTAAAAGTTACCTTCACTTTCAGAAGTCAAAACCTTTCACAAACCCATTACCAGAATTATTCTTTCGGTTGTACACAATGTATTTTTAAAAAGTAATGTTGCTAAATCCTTAAATAAGCCAACTAAGTTTGTTACTTTAAAAGGTAGAGTTGTTCTGCTTTTTCCTGTTCTCTTCAGTTACTCTCTTTTTGGTTTATTCTGTAAAATTCTAAAAGGAGAGCCAGGATAATTTGTCTGCTGAGGCTAATCCAAATTTCCCTTAAGAGCAAGGATACAGTACTAATGAGAATGCTCTTGGGTGGGGAGCTCTTACCATCACAGGATGGGTCAGCGCTCACTCATATCATCCAGGCATGCTGTTAAAATTGAATGGATTCCTATTTTAACACACTGTCCCCACTGAACCCAAGAGCATGAGGAAGGGAAATCATCCTCAAAAACAAAAACAAAAAACCAAAGCCTAAAACTGTTTTAGTAAGTAGTAAGTGCTTTTCATTTAGACTCCATGACCAGTATTTAATTTATAAAATTCCAGTTCCTTATGTCAGTTGTTTTTTTTTTTAAAGCCAATGTACTTAAGAGTTAATGAGATCATGTCTAGACCCTTTGGACTTGACTGACAGATACTCATGTATACCTTTATTACAGAAAGCTCATGAGGGATCCTGGAGACACATTGCTATGTAGAAAACAAAGACATGTGATGAAAACTGTCCCCACTTTTCTCTAAGGAACTTCATGGTGATATTAAAATTTTAAAAACTCACTGGGCAAATTTTAAATGTTTCGAATTTTATCAATACAGAATAGTTTAACACCTCTTACTTGATTTATCTCTTTAGGTACTCAGCAAGAAAGACAATGTTACTTCTAAATTGTGGGCTCAAAGAGGACAGCAAGGTGCACAGTGGAAGAAAGTAGAAGTGTTTCTAGGCGTTCAGTCACATATACAGGTTCGTAAGCCAAGTAGTTGTTGGGTGACGAGGGAGTGTTTTCATTTTCTTTTTCTTTAATCCTACTTTATTTCCTCTACTGCTAGCCTTTTTTCCCTCCCATTCCTGATATGTTAAATGAACGCTTACCACTCCATGTCATTTCCATAAGGAATTTAACAGTTCCAGATGTCCTAATTTCTCCCAATCAGACAACCATGTTCTAGGACTATGTAATTTTAATGCCAACTATGCTGCACTTTCCAATCAGCCTCCTCGTACAAAGAACACCTCCCTTGATTTTACAGATATAATCTCAGAGACTGCAGAGTAATTATGTTACTCGATTTCAAAGCTAATTAAAAAGATAGACTTTTGAAGCACATTGTATTGTTGAACCTTGTTAGAGGTAATAGATTTACCTAATTAAAAATTATTTGGGGGTGGCACGAAATTATATAATGCTGTATTTGTCTTCATGTAGATTACAATAATATTAGGAGAATATGACTTATTCATATCTATAAATTTAAAATAAGAAGTAGTATGTGTGCTAAAATTGAAGGTAATTACATGCCAAGATAATTGATGTGTATTTTGTTTCTTATGGGTTATCAAGAAAATAAGAGCTGATGGATGTGTGTGTGTGTGTGTGTGTGTGTGTGTGTGTGTGTGTGTGTGGTGTGTGCATGTATTTGGCAGAAGGGGATTTTCTTGGAAGATGAGGCTTAGCTATTAAAATTGTAAAGATTTGAATCAGGAGAGTGAGAATCCAGAGGCATTTATGCTGGGGAACATTTTCGTAGTCTTAATTGCATAGGGCTTAATTTCATGAGTTTAGAACCATTTATCTCTAGATAGAAGATATATCTTGACTAATTATTGCATTTCTAGTCCTCTGTATATAGTAGCCTCTTCTGCTGTGCACAGTCAGTAACTATATATAGTCATGGGCTGTGTGAGAGATCAGCCCCTCTCCATTCCAGTGGAAACACCGAACAGCTCCTTCTGTGTAAAGGCATTAATACAGCACTGTCCCCAATTTCTTGGAATGGCAGGTGTGATAAAGTCCGTATGTTTTTGGCCTCTCACTGGAGTCCTGTTTTCTTATGGGTCATTTGTAGATAATTTAGGAAATTGATAAGAAATAAGTTCAGCCTGAAGATGTAATTATTGGACTGTACTTTTATATTGCACAATATGAAATTTATTTTTAAAATGATTCCACCAGTTCATTCTCTAACATCTTTTAATTGAGGGTAGAAGAATCCTCAGCAAGAACATGGAGAAGGTTTTGCTGCTGCTGGACATAGTCTTCTACCCCAGGCAATGAATTCTTAACTAGTTCTGTGCAATTGGAATATTTGTATAGTAAAATCATATTAAAAATAACATTAAGGGGAATTTCAGCAGGAAGAATCAATTATTAATTAACTTAGCCTTTCTGAAATGTGCTTTCTCATATATTGAAATTTGATTGAAGAGATATACGCCTGTGTTGTTTCAATCTTAAAATTAGATAATAGTGGCTTGTGAACATTTGATGTTTTTTGGTGATTCACTCATTCTTTCAATACAGACCTACTAAGCCCCCACTACGTGCAAAGCTCATTACTGTGCACTGGAGATAGACTGATAAGCCAGGCATACTGTCTGTGTTTCTTCCGTTTTTACAGTGTTACCCCTTTCACCTCAGGAAGAGGTGAAACTCTAAACCTTGAGAAAAAGTCAAAGATATGGTTAGAAGTTATATGCAGAATCAACACTGGGTAGTTTTCAGAGTTTTATTTGGGAGCCCTCAAATGTAAACAGAGTGTTTAATTAAAATAGTTTGATTAACTAGAGCAGGCATATACTTAGCACTTAAGAAGTGCTAAGTACTAATCTATAAATTTGAAACATTTATTTTAGTTTTTACAGTAATTGTATGATCATTATTCCCTTTTATAGATAGAATACACAATTACCTACACATGAGGGAACTCCTAGTTGTAGACTACAAAATGGCATAGGGAGACTGTCAGCAAGGCCAGTTCATTAAGTTCATTAAGTTCATAATCCAAATACTGTGCCATATTGCTTTCCAACTTTTCCAGAATAATTCACCCTGCTTTTATTCTACTGAAAAATATATAATTATTTAAAAAAAAAAAGTGTAATCACATTCGGTAGGAAAGTCTATGGAATCTTAACCAACATTTTATGGAGCATTGGGATATAAGCAGGGATTTGATCATTTGGACCTCGCAGGCACCTGAAGGTCCATCTATAGAACTGCACAAGAATAAATTAATAAGGAAACACTTATTATCTGATTCCTTTTTCATAGAACATTGTATCACATATTTAAATGTTTAGAGGCATCCAGAAAATAGAGTACCCTTTTCATTTGTGTAATGGTGTTTCCTTACAAAACACTGGAGTCCTTATTCTTTCTAATTTCACCTCTTTTTAATGTCTTCGAACCTCTCAATCAAATTTATTTTTCTTTTCCAGCATATCTATTATGAAGAACAGTTTATGTAAATTTGGTATATGAATTTACATAAAAATTGTATTTTTTGTTTTGGTTTTGATAATTTGAAAGGCATGAATTTCAATTCTAAAATCTAATCTTAAAAGGAGAACACAGAGGTTTTCATGGAGTCACATGAAAGCATAACACATCCTCAGGAGAAATTGTAATTCTTTTGAGAAAAATGTTTAGATTTGGTCAAAAGGTGTTTGGGAGCTTGAACAATAAATATTTGTATAAAATCACGGAAGTAAATCTGTATTCCTTGTTAACTCATTTTAAATTGTTCTACATTTACTTTAAAAAGTGAATATTTCTTATGTTAATACACAAATACATATTTGGCATGCAGAAAAATTTAATAGAAGCATTCTGAATTAATGTCACTTAGAAATTTGAAACTAAATAATTTGTGACTTCTTGGGTTCTGTGAAACAGTGTTAATTGTTCTTCCAAGCATTGGTAGTGTTACAACTGAAGACAAAATTTCTAAACATTTTAGCAGCTCCTGTTACTAGTTTTAATCATTTCTAATTCATTTGGAGACTATGTTCAGTGGGACCTCCCTGTCAGTGGCACAAATGAGAATTTTGTCAATCACATACATCAAAGGCAAATGAAAATCATTTCCATTCCGAATATGGGGGCAATTTAAAAAAACTCATGGTATTGAGGTTTGATATCTTTCCTTTCACATAGTTGGGGTGGACAGATCTGAGGATTGGCAACATGTTGGTCAAAATAAAGGATGTGGTTGTATCTTTTTTCTCTTCATGTGCTTTGTCACCTGATTGACCTCCTTCTTCCCATACAAGGTGCAAGTGAGGCCCTAAGAAGGGAGCAGATCTTGTTTTGGATGAGAGAGCTGCAGAAGCAGCACTGGTAGCTTGGTGGCCCCTACTGGTTTTCTTTGCCACCTGTCCTAAAAATCTAGACAAGAGCAGTGCTGTTGCCCCTCCTGCATTTGTGGGATGACCCTCAGGCATCTTGGGTCAGTTTCATGTTGGGGGTATTTTTCTTAGATTCAAACCTGATGTCCTATATTTAAAATTTGCCTCAAATTTTGAATTATTCAACTAAAATTGGATTTCTTTACTTCTTTCCTCTCTTCCTTACCTTTTTTTTTTTTTTTTTAAAGATTGTCTTTAGGGCAAAGCGTGGTATCAGTTACATGGGAGACGTAGCAGTGGACGATATTTCCTTTCAAGATTGTGCCCCCCTACTTAGCCCAGACAGGAAGTGTACTGCTCAAGAATTCACGTGTGCCAACAAGCAATGCATTGCAAAGGACAAGCTGTGTGATTTTGTGAATGACTGCGCTGATAATTCAGATGAGTCTCCTTTCATTTGCAGTAAGTGGAAGTGTTCTATTTCCTCCCTTTTCCCTTTGTCTCCTACAACCTTAGCTTGCAAGTAGTGTGTTAGTTGCTGAAACATACAAAGTATGCATAGCCTAGCGGTCAAGGCAGGTAAGGTGATTTACCTATGTAAATACATTTCTTTCTTTCTCTCCATACTTAATTTAGAACTGTAATTCATTTAAAAGTAGTTGGTGGCTTGGTTATGTGTGAGATAATTGGCGATAAATTGAAAAACAGGTGTCTTCAAAGACAAACAGAATGGAAACAGGTATTATTCATATGAAAGAATGTTTTGGGAAAAAGACAAGCAAAACATCCATCAATGCCAATTCATGCGGGGCTCACTGGCCTCTGTGCTTTGATGCGCTGGAGAGAGTTGTCATTCCTTTGCGTAAATTAAGAGATGTGATAAATGTTAAAAAAAAAAAGAAACCAAAAAATATATAAATACCTAGATATTATATTAAACAAAGCAGTCTTCTAAAAGAAATACATATCAGCTATGTGATATTATTGTAGGAGATCAACTCATAATAAACAGCACCTATTAAAATATCCTTAGCTAAATGGGCCATATGTGCTCATTTGGTAAGTCTGTAAATTGTGCAACACAGCCTGGTTATTACCTCATTTCATTGCAAATGAGGTGAATACATATTTTTGAAATGAAGGTTGACAAATTATTCTACTTACTAGTAATAATTTCTGAGCAAGAATATTTTAGTTTGAGCCTTTGCTGTTGTTGCTGAACCAAATCTGTGAATATCAGGAACAATTTCAGTAGAATGAGAGCTCTCATTTGTCTAGAGCTTTTAACTTTCAAAGCCATCTCATTTACTAATGTCTGCTTGATCTTCACAGAAGCCCTGAGGGATGAGTGGGACAGATACTCTTAGTGTATATTGCACAGACAAAGCTGCCAACAGGAGTGCTTAAGATTTTGTCAGAGTTCTTAAGAGTGGTGTTGACAGAATTGATCCTAGAATCAAGTACTTTATGATTCACTGCTTTGCTCAAGCTACCATGCCTCCTCTGTGTAATGCTGAATCTTAACAATATAAAAAAAAAGTTGTAGACATAGAAATCCTATTTATATCAAGTAACTGTTCCTTTACTCGTGGATTGTTTCTTACAATATTTCATTATTAGCACGTAGGAACCAAGCAAAAATATTTGGCTAATCTTGAGTTCTGAATTAATATTTATCTTTACCTTATAAATGTTTTCTGCTGCACGTATACTTTCTGCATCAAATGGTTTTTACAATTTCTTCATTGCCATTTTCATTTCAATATCACAGAAATCTATTAGGTTATCAAATAGAGCAGATATTAGGCTTTTGAATTTTATTTCTTATGTTGCCAATCTATCTCTTTCCCCAGATAAAATGTAATGTAATTTTGAAAGTATCGATTTGTTTATAGCCAAAGTTTCCCAGAACTCTTTGTATTTAGGTTCTAAATTTGTAAATATTTCTAGGAATGCTTTGTCTGTATTCAGGAAAGGATGCTGATATGCTGACAGAGTCTGAAATGTATGGGAACTTACTGTCGTGGTCATTCTTCCTTTTTTGAGCGCAGTGGACACACAGTTATATTAGTTTCGGGTGTACAACATAGTGATTCAGCGGCTCTATACACCATGCTGTGCTCAGCACCAGTGTAGCTGCCTGCCGTCCCACGCAGTGCTATTGCAATACCATCGACTGTAGTCCCAGTGCTGTATTTTTCATCCCCATGACTTAGTCTGTAACAGGAAGTCTGTGTCTCCCAACTGCCCTTCGCCCATCTTGCCCATCCCCCACCCTCTTACCCTCTGGCAACCATCACATAGCTCTCAGTATTTATAGGTTTGGTTCTGCTTTTTGTTTGTTTATTTAATTGTTCCATGTTATAGATTCCACATACAAATCATCTGGTATTTGTTGTCTTTCTCTGACTTACTTCACGTAGCATAATACTGGTAGTTCTTTTGTATGAAAAATAAAGGTAAAAGTATCATCACACTTTGGAGGAAAAGTTGCACCAGAATGTGTTTTTTGGTGAAGTGATTGCCAAATTACCCTTGTTTAAGGTTTGAGTAAGCTACACATATCAGTAATACTAGAGCAAGAAAGCTGAATTACTTCCAGATATTATATAGAAAAAAGAAAACTTTTTCAGCTCTTAGAGCAAATAAACAGCAAGACGTTAGACCTTATAAAAGAGGCCCCATTTTGATACTGGTTCTCCTACATGAGTATGATTATTTATTTATTTATTTGTACATTTTTTTTAGATTGTTATGTTAGTCACTATACAGTACATCATTAGTTTTTGATGTAGTGTTCCAAGATTCATTGTTGATGTATAATTTTTTAAATAACATTGCTTAAATACTATGTATTTTTAAAAATTTACCTATAATCTCATTTTATAATATTAAACATTTTAAAGTGGCTAACATATGCCATATGCATTATGAGTTGTTATCCTGTGTATACTGGAAACTTTGATGCTCTGATTAGTCCCAGAAGAATAGGAAGGGAAAAAATAATCTTAAAAATTACCATAGCAACTGATTGCAGAAATTTGGGTGACAACCAATCAAAAATCCAGCCTTGAGTTCTGTAGTACTTGGGGTTTTGTTTTTTGTTTTATTTAGAATCCTACGTAAAGTCTGATTGAATATCACAACTCTAAGAAAATTTCTGAAATATCATTAGGTAGAAATACACCACGGAGGAATAGCAGAAAGATTTTAAAACTCCCTTTAAGGGAATGGACTGTCTCTGATGCAAAGGAAGAGAATAATCTTTTATAAAATAGTAGTACCTGCTGCTTTAATTTTCTATAGATCAGTATAGACTCTGAAAACAAAATCTGGCAGAAAAATTAAAATGTTATTTTTGGCTTTACTATATAAATATCATGTCTAAAATATGGGACATAGTAAACAAGAAGAAAGTAATATGTATGTCTGACAACTCTAAAATCTTATTTGAACATATCTTTGCCAATGATATAGAAGCTTGTTCAGAAAGCATCCATATTTTTTGTTTCAACATATAGTCTAATTAGCATATTTATTGTTCATACATAATTAAGAGTGTCTCAGGCATACTGAAAGTAATTTAATTCTGTACCATGATTAGTAAGAATGCTGGATATTTACTCAACATAATTAGTAAGGAATCTGAACCTAATGGGCAAAGGTAACACTGTATTTACCATCTGTAGATACCTATTTTTTGAAACATACACAGTATATTTATCAAAAAGATTATATTATTGTTAAACATTAAGGAAATTTTAATGCTTTAAAATGGATTAAAGTGGCACATTATGTCTTTTTAATTAGATTGGAAATCAATTAGAAAAAGCTGGAAAATACCTATTGGTTAGGAAAAACACACTTTTAGTAACCTCTTCCTCCCCTCCAATAAAAAAATTACAGTAAAATTAGAAAATGTTTTAACTAATAAAAACAATGCATACAAATCTTGTGGGATTTAGCCTAGTGAATACATAGAGAAGAATTGATAGATATTAGAAACTAATATATAGTTTATATTAGTTCATATTAGAAACTAATATAGAAACTTTATATAGAAATCTTATATTAGAAGCTAATTAGCTAATGTGTAAATTAATGGAAAAGAACATACATAAAAGACAGAGAGGGTTTGGAAAGACATAAAATTTTAAAACCCCGTCAAAAGAGGTGGAGAAAACAGAGCAAATAAATTTAACACATATTTATTGAGAAGTTATATGTTAAGCTGTGTTGGAGACACCTAGTTTATGTCAGTAAGTGAAACAAAAAAAATGGTTTTTCTCATCTTCTATATTTAAACAAAAAATGTTCTCTCTCTCTCTCCTCCATCTTCCACCTACCCCCACATTTGTCTATAAAATAATTATAGAGTTTTTAAAAGGTGACAAGTGCTATGGGAAAATACAGAGTAAACTAAGGGAGACCATAAATGGGGGGAGGGCAAATGGTAATGTTAAGGAAACTTGGCTGTCTCTATGGTCTGGGACTTAGCTAACACTTGTTATTTATTATTCTTGTTATAATTTCTTTAAAAAAAATATAGCCATTATAGTACATTATAGAGTGGAATCTCATTGTGATTTAGATTTGTCATTCCCTACTGACAGATAATGTTAAGCATCATTTTTTGCACTTAATGGCTATTTGTGTATCTTTTTAGGAAAAATGTCTATTGAAATCCTTTGCTTGTCTTTTTAATGGATTGTTTTTTGTTGTTGAGTTATAGGAGTTATTTATATATTTTAGATCTTAAACCCTTATAAAATATAATCAAATATATGATTTGCAAATAATGTTTGCAGTTCATCCTTTCTGATGGAGGCATACTACTCCATTGTGTATATGGACCATATCTTCTTTATCCATTCGTCTGTTGAAGGGCATCTTGGTTCTTTCCACAGTTTAGTGACTGTGGCCATTGCTGCTATGAACACTGGGGTACAAATGGCCCTTCTTTTCACTACATCTGTATCTTTGGAGTACATACCAGTAGTGCAATTACAGGGTCATAGAGTAGCTCTATTTTTAATTTCTTTCTTTTTTTTTTTTTAAGATTTTATTTATTTATTTGACAGACAGAGACCACAAGTAGGCAGAGAGGCAGGCAGAGAGAGAGGAGGAAGTAGGCTCCCCACTGAGCAGAGAGCCCGATGTGGGGCTCGATCCCAGGACTCTGAGATCATGACCTGAGCCGAAGGCAGAGGCTTTAACCCACTGAGCCACCCAGGTGCCCCTATTTTTAATTTCTTGAGGAATCTCCACACTGTTTTCCAAAGTGGCTGCACCAACTTGCATTCCCACCAACAGTGTAAGAGGGTTCCTCTTTCTCCACATCCTCTCCAACACTTGTCATTTCCTATCTTGTTAATTTTGGTCATTCTGACTGGTGTAATGTGGTATCTCAATGTGGTTTTGATTTGAATTTCCCTGATGGCTAATGATGAACATTTTTCATG